GAGATGCTTCACAGATTCATTGTTGTTCTTTCTCGTTGCATAGTACTCCATTGTGTGTATGTACCGTAGTTTGTTTATCCATTCGTCTGTTGATGGGCATCTAGGTTGTTTCCATCGTTTTGCTATTGTGAACAATGCTGCCATGAACATAGGTGTGCATATGTCTATTTGAGAGTGTCGAGTCTTATTTCTCTAGGATATATTCCTAGGAGTGGAATTGCTGGATCGAATGGTATGTCTCTAGCTTTCTGAGGAAGCGCCCTATCATTTTCCAAAATGGTTGTATCATTTTGCATTCCCACCAGCAGTGCATAAGAGTTCCGAGAAAGATCACCTTCTTGACCTGAGCAAAGAACTGTATCAACCTTCATAAATTAGATACAGATTGATTCTTTAAAACAACTGGGTCACAGACCCTGCCTTTAGAACTATGGATAGGAAGCAAAACATTCCACTGTCTCCATGTGAACTCTGATAGTCCTTCCTTTATTGACATATGGTACCTGTGTTTTCTGCCATATACTTTCTAGAAGCTCACATAATTCACATCACAAAACCTTGGTTTGTTTTTGGCTTCTGGTTTTATTATCACTAATGATAAGCCAGAGTTTAAAAATTAGTCTTTTCTTTCCTAACATAAGAATTAAAAAGTTGGCTCCGTGCTAAATAAGGAGCCCTGGTGGCACCATGGTTAAGTGCTTCACAGCAAGCCAAAAGTTTGGCAGTTCGAACCCACCAGCTGCTCTGTGGAACAAAGACATGGCAATCTGCTCCTGCAAAGATTACAGCCTAGAAAACCCTATGGGGTAGTTCTACTTTGTCACATGGGGTCACTATGAGTCAGAATTGCCTCATCGCACCCAACAACAACAACGTGTTGCATGTTAGTATATTGAGTTTAGGTACTAACATTTTTCCAGATGAGAAATACGGATTCAAAATACAAAAATGTCATTTGACAACAGTTTTTTCAGTACAGTTAGCTTAGAGTCTCATGGTTTGATTTTTTAATGCTTTCATGTCTGCCTCTGATTTGTTTTCATGCCCAGTGTGATAGTTTTAAAGAAATTGATTAGCAACCATAGTTTATAAAAGATTATACATAATAATTCCTATTAATAATGGCATGTCAGTGTAGTTTTAAGTTGTATGTTTATATTTTGAGTGAAGTTGAACATCTTTGCAGATGTCTGAGGGCTGCTAGCATTTCTATTCTGTCAACTGTTCATTTGTTTTTGCCAATTTTCTTTATTGGGTTGCTATTTTCTTCCCAGTTTTTAGGAGCTCTTCATATATTAGGGATGTTAGCCCATTGTGATGTGTTGCAAACGTTTTTCAGTGTGTCATTTGTCTTTTGACTATTCTAATGATGTGTTTTGACAAGCAGTACATTTTATTTTCATGTAGTCAGATTTATCTTTTTTATTTTTTGGATTTTGTGTTGTGGTTAGGTAAGGTTTCTTCACTCCCAGGTGTTAGAATTATTACTCATGTTTTCTTCTAAACATGTATGGGTGCATTTTTTACATATAGATCTAGGATCCATTTGGAATTTATCCTGATTGTGATGTGTGGTGGGAGATATGAATACAAATTTTATCTTTCACCAAATGATTATCAGTTGTCCCAATAAAACTTATTTATAAGCCCTCATTTCCTCATTGATTTTAGATGCTACCTTCATCATTTACTAAATATCCATGTGTACCTGGGTCCATTTCTGAACTATCTTTTGTCTGTTCATGCATAGATATCATACTCTTTTAATTGTAGCAGCTTTATAATATCTTCTACTAATTGATAAGGCTGCCCTTCACCATTCTTTTTTTCAGGGATTTCCTGGCTATTCTTACTTTCCCATATGAACTTTAAAATCAGTCTAATTCCAGAACAGTATGTGTTGTTATTTTTGTTGGGATATCATACTTACAAACATATTTTAGAAAGATTGGCATCTTTATTGAGTCTTTCTGTCCAGGAACTGTATATGGCTTTCTATTTAAATTTACACTTGATCTTTAAGGAGTGTTTTATGGTTTCCTTATATAGGTTTTACGCATTTCTTAAGTTTATTCCTAAGTATTTTATCTTTTTTTGTTGTTGTTATTGGAAATATGGTCTTCCATTTTATCTTGTAACTGGTTATCACTGGTTATGTGTATATGCAAGGGCTATCGATTTAAGTGTGTTAATTTTATATCCCGCTACTTACTAAATTATCTTTTTTATATGGATTCCTCATTGAATTCCCTTAATTTTCAGATGTATAAGTGAAAGGGGCTGCGTGGAAATTTCACATTTATTGTTTATTGCCAGCATATAGGCCTAGCTTCCTGGGTATTGTGGTATTGTTAATGCCTAGCTCACATAGTTCACTTTTGCATGCTCCTATGATTTCTATTTGTTTTCCTCCTATCCCCTCGCTCTTGCTTTCCCATGACTTTGAAGTTTAAGTTTCTCTTCGAGAGGTAGAACGACCTTGGAGGGTAGAGTAACTCATCTGCGACGTGATAATAACAGTGCAAGATGACCTTCAAGGATTGCCAGGTGCAGAATGTAACCACCAGAAAAAAAAAACAAAAAACTATAATCTTGTTCATATAAAAAGTTTCAACTGGTCTCCAAGGGGGAAACAGGTCTTTTGGAGGAGCTCATTCCCCTCTTTCTCTTGTATATCGATATAAAATAAAACACTCTTGCTGCTCACCTCACCCATCTCAGTATTGGCTTCTGCGGCAGGCGGCTCAGACCCGCCATTGCGGTAACATAAGCATATCGTCAGAGCACAAAAGTGAACCTGAAGATCGTTGTTGAAAGTGGAAAAAGCAGGCATAAACCTGCATGTGGCCCCTTCAGGAGTGTGTATAGAAGAGGCCCTGCCCTTTACAGCCAGGAAGGGCTGTTCAGTAGGGAAGACCTCAGGAGACCATCCCTTTGCGGCATTGCAACCTCACTGATGCAAAAACCCAAATAAGATGAAAGTGAAGGGTGAAACAAATACCCCGTTGCACCAGTCAACTGCGACTCATGGCAACCCATGTGTTATAGAATGGAGCTGCTTCATAGGGTTTTCTTTGCTGTAATCATCTACCAAAACAGATTGCCAGGCATTTCTTCCGTGGCACCACTGGGTGAGTTAAAACATCCACCATTTACTAGTGGAGAGCAAACTTCACAGATGCCAAAACCCAAATGAAAGTGAGAGTGAAGAGTAAAGGATTTCCCTATCTTCAGATCCGCTCTGCAAGCGTCGACCACCAATCGCGTTGAGGAATTCGGGGGAAATGGCGGGGTAAAGAAGAGAAAAAGGAAATTCCGTTTAACTGGGGGCCTAAGAGTCCCCAGCCGTCCTTTTGCGTAAGCGCGAGGAAGAACCACCGAGTTGAAAGCGTGTCTCAACCCCACTTCCTAGAGTTCCCGCGGAAGTGCGCCGCACGCCGCTGGAACGAGCGAATCCTTAGCTTCGCCGGCTGCTTCCGGCCTTTGTGAAGCGCCGTTGGAGGGCTCCGGGCTGCGAAGTGGTTGGGAATTTCAGCTCTTCGCCCGGTAGGAAGTAGTCCTCTTCTGGCCCCTTGGGGCCGCAGGTGAGCGAGCCCGCGTTCCGGGCTTGGAGGAAGGGGGAATGGGACGGGACCGCGGTTGCCTGGCAAAGGGTTGCTGCCTTCCCACGGCCTAGGATCCTCAACCCAGCTGAGGCAGATCCGGCGGGTTGGGCTTCGGTCTTCCCCCGCCCAGGTGGGGCTGCAGGACGCTCCTGTCCCCGGAGACCATCTCAGGAATAGAGTATATTCGTAACTTCATAACGGGTCCGCCCCGGTCTCCGCGGAGAGTACAGGCTGTGCGCCCCATCTCCTCTGAGCTTATCTGACACTCCTAGGTCAAAGACGCTGACCGGCAACCTGGGGAACCTGCCCTGGGTCTGCCTGGCAAACCACAGAACGCGAGAGCAGGAGGCCTTAAAGGGCAACGTCTCCAGCCTTTTCACTTTATCAGTGAAGAGTGAGGAGAGGAGCCTAGAGATTAAGTTATGAAGAAATAAGTTCATGTGACTCTGCTTTTAGGCCTACATAGTTTACCCCAGACAGACATCTGAGCGTTAAAAAAAAAATTTTTTTTTTAAAGCAACCAAGCAAGGATGCACCAGCCTTTTATTGTTATCATTTACTTACCCTAAATGTTTATTTTATTTTAATTAATTGTTGTTTAGAACTAAATGGAAACAGGTTTCCTGCTAAGTCTCACTTTTCCTTCTTAAAGGGCTGAAATAACTTGGCTCTTGGAGCTTTTTACTTAGTCTTTCTTTTTAAATTAGCCTGGGGTATTTGGAAGTTTTTTCTATCATAGTATTTCCCTGAGTATAATAAATTAACCTAGAGGCAGATTTACAAGGCTCATATTTAAATTCTTAGGATTAGCAATTTTTGTTTATAATGTAGTTTGTGTTAATAATGATAGCATATTCCTCTGGTTCACCTAGGTAGAAACTTGGCAGGGAATATCTTGCTTGAAACACTGATACAGCTTTGACACAGCTATGACGGCAGCAACTTGGACTGTCCAGGCCCATGCGGACAAAGATGAAGTTTGGGAAATTAAGATAGAAAAGGAGAAATACAAGTATACCACCAGAAAAGATCAGAGCCTGCGAAAGAACAACTCCTATAGCAGGGAGGTCTTCCGACAGTACTTTAGGCAGTTCTGCTACCAGGAAACATCTGGACCCCGTGAGGCTTTGAGCCAACTCCGAAAACTTTGCCATCAGTGGCTGAGGCCGGAGACCCACACCAAAGAGCAGATCCTGGAGTTGCTGGTGTTGGAGCAGTTCCTGACCATCCTGCCCGAGGAAGTCCAGGCCTGGGTGCAGGAGCAGAATCCAGAGAGTGGGGAGGAGGCAGTGACTGTGCTGGAGGATTTAGAGAGAGAGCTGGATGAGCCAGGAGAGCAGGTGAGAAAAAAGATGTGGTTTCTGTTTGAGAAAAGATGAATTGTGGATTTCGAAGCCAAAGTGAGACACAGCGTTATTTCAGAAAGCTCCGTTTCCATTAAAGGATTGATTAAAAGATGAAGTAATTAAAGTCACTATTTCAGGGGGATGAGATGTAGCACCAGAGGGGCAGGATGGGGGACCCATGCTTCTTTGAGTAGTAGAAGGCCTAATTAGGTGGAAAGCTGAGTTGTGAGTAGAAAATAGAGTCCAGGACCTTGAGTATTAGCCTCTGGAGTTCAGATTTTATGCTGTAAGAAAGAGGTTCTCAACCTTTTCTCCTTGCATGTAAGTAAGCTTTACTAACTCAAAGACATTAAAGGGAACCAAATTATTTAGGACCTTTTTGTTTTGTTTTGTTTTAACATTGATAAGACAGTGGTTCTCGAACAGTGGCGATTTTGTACCCCGGAGGGCATTTGGGAATGTCCTAAGACGTTTTTGGTTGTCATAAGTGAGAGGTGCTATTGACATATAGTGGGTAGAGGTTAGGGATGCTGCTAAGTATCCTCCAGTGCACAGGACAGTCCCATACAACAAAGAATTAGCCAACCCAAAGTGTTGATAGAACCAGCGTTAAGAAATCTTGGCATAAGGCATAAGAAACATAGTTAAATAAAAAACAGTAAGATAAGATGTATATCTAGCATTAGGGTACAAAATAGACTGCAGAAGGAAGGACTAGGTGGCAAGAATTTCTAAGTTTGAAATAGAGCCCTGACAGAGTAACTACAAAGGATGAGACATGTCTTAGGTCATAATTAACTAGAAATGATGAGAGATTAGATCTATATTGAAGAAAGAAGAGATGGAGAATTCTTTACTACACAATCTTTTTTGGGCTAAGCATCAGAGATTTCAAGTTTGAAAGACTAGTGTAATGGAGACACTCCTAACAAAGACTGTAGGGGAAGATGGATTGGAGAACAGTTCATTCATTCAGCAGATATTGATTGAACATCTGTTTTGCACCAGGCATCCATCTAGGCACTGGGGTTGCAACAGTGAACGAAGCATAGAAGGTTTCTGCTGCCCTGTAGAGTATAGTCTACTGAGGAGAGACAGGAAATAAAATAACAAACAGGTAATATGTCAGTGGTGATAAATTCTGTGAAAAAACAGTAAAACAGGGTAAAGAATTAGTGAACACAATAAGGGTTGTACTGTTCATAGAACAGTCAGGAAAGGTTTGACATTTGGGGCAGGTAGGGTGACATTTAGAGCAGATTTCTGAATTGAAAGAGCAAACAAGCCATGCAGCTGTCTAGGTTAAGAGCATTCAGGCAGAGAGAATAGTAAATGGAGAGGTTCTAAGGTGAGGATTTGCTTGTCATTGTAGAAGAACAGCAAGAAGGAGATGGAGTCAAATAGGTATTGGGATCAAATCATGTAGGAACTGTAGGCATTTATAAAGATTTTGAATTTTATTCTGATTAAAGTGGAAAGTCATTGGAGAGTTTTGAGAGGACGAGAGATATAATCTGACTTAAGTTTTAAAATAATCACCCTCGATGCTATGTTGAGAAAGTTCTACAATGGGGGAAGAGAGGACGGAGATATAAGGGTTAAATGTAGAAGCAGGGAGAACAGTTTGGGAGGATATAGCTATAACCAGTAATCTAGGGAAGAAATATTGGTGGCTTGGACTAGAATAGTAGCAATGGAAGTGGTGAGTTGTGATTGGATTCTGGATATATTTTGAAAGTAGAACCTGACAGGATTTACTTTTATATAGTATGTAGTTCGTGGGATGTGAGAGAAAGTGAGCAGTTAAGGATTACACCAAAATCTGAGCAAGGATTGTACAAAGTACGACCAAGGATTATGCCTTGGTCTGAACATCAGGTAGAATGGATTTGTCATTCATTGAAATGGGAAGGATTGGGAGAGAAGTAGGTTTGGGGTGGAGGGACAGGAATCAAGAGTTGGGTTTTGGAATCCCTGATGGGAACAGGAGAAAAGTGGGGTGCAGAACTCAAATTGTAGTAAAAAGACCAGACTTAATGGTCTGAGACTGGAGGAACCCTGGAAAGCACGGCCCCCAGACTCTGTCAGCCCAGCACTAACACCATTCCCGAGGCCAACTCTTCAGACTAAGATAAGACTGGACTATGGGACATAAAATGATACTCGTGAAGAGTGTGCTTCTTAGCTCAATTAGATACATGAGTCTAAATGGGCATCTCCTGTCCGGAGGTGAGATGAGAAGGCAGAGGGGGTCAGGAGCTGCTTGAATGGATACAGGGGTAGAAAGGAGGAGTGTGCTGTCACAGTGTAGGGAGAGCAGTTAGGGTCACATAACAATGTATGTATAAATTTTTGTATGAGAGACTAACTTGAATTGTAAACTTAAAGTACAACAATAAAATAAAGAGTTGGGTTTTGGATATGTTAATTTTGAGAGGTCTGTTAGAATCCAAAGAAGCCCTGGTTTTGCAGTGGTCAAATGATCAACTGCTAACTGAAAGGTCAGCAGTTCGAAACCACCAGCAGCTCCACGGGAGAAAGATGTGGCAGTCTGCTTCCATAGAGATTTACAGCCTTGAAAACCCTGTGGGGTCGCTATGAGTCAGAATTGACTCCATGACAGTGGTTTGTGTCTTTTTTTTTTTTTTTAAATTAGAATCTAAGTGGAATAGTTGAGCAAGCAACTAGATATTATGAGTTAGAATTCAGTAGAGCTGTCTGCGCTAAAAATATAAAATTGGGGACTGTATTAAAGCCATGACACAGGATGAGATCATCAAAGGAGTAACCACCAATGGAAATTGAAGAGCGGCCAGGGAGATAGGAATAGAACCAGAGCAAAACTGGGATACTCAGGTGCAAGCAAAAATATTGAGTTTTTATTGCCAACCTGCTGTCTCTTTGAAGCGTGCCAGGGTCAGCTAATAGAGTTGACAGCTTGGGTTCTAAGGCCCAGCCAGAGATCTAGGGATAAAAGGCACAGCTGGCTGTATTGCCTTTTTTTTTTCTTTTCTTTCTCTTAATTTGAGATATCAGAACATCTGTATATCTGAGATAATATTCTGCTGATTCTGTTTCTTAGTCTGGAAACAGAGGTTAAAAAGCGAAAATGTGTCAAGGAAAGAGACGCAGTTTATGGCAGCAACCTCTGATTTAAACATTTAGCCACTGAAGGGAGTAGGGGAGTCATTTGGAGGGCCTGTTGTATGCTAAGGCCCTGTTCTTGGTGCTTCACCACATACATAATGTCATACAATGTCAGAAATTAAGTAATTAGTCCAGAGCTGCTAAACTAAGAGACAAGAGTAATTAGAGTGAATCCAAATCCCTGCTTTTCACAGTACCATTCCAGGAAGACCTGTTATTTTTAAATGCAAGAATGAATGGGCCCATGGAGGAATGGGAGTCACAGAGTGGCTGAAATTGCCGAATAAAGAGTTAATTGAGGGAGCAAGGGTCAGAGGGAAGTTGAAAGGGGTAGGATTGAAGGCACATGTAAAGTCAGCCTTGAAAAAGAGAAGGGGCATCTTCCTCTAAGATGGAAGGGAAGCAAAGGAGATGGGGGTAGAGATGGGTAAAGTGAATGATGGATGAAGAAGTAAACTCTGGGTAGTTGTTAGGTCAGAAAAGTAAGAAATAAGATCATCTTCCCAGAGAAAAGTGGAATGGGGACCTCAGAAGAGCAGAGACGTTGGCAATAGCTTCTGGGGTGAATAAAGAAGAGATTTCTCTCCTCTTCATTTTTTCTTCCTTCTTCAACCCTCTTTTCTTTTTCTTTCTCCTTTGTTCCATTCTCCTTCTTTATCATTTCTCTCTGTCATTTCCCTTTACTTATCCCTTTTCCTGTTCTTCTTTCTGTTTTATTTTTCCTTTCTTTCTATCTGTATTTACTTCCTTTTCTTTCTTTCTCCCTTTGCCTTCTCCACTTCTCTGAGCATAAGACACAGATTTAAAAGTTGGACGACTAACGTATATTAGGATTTAAGAATAGGAGAACTTGCCTCCATATAGGGAAAGGAAGATTTCTCAGAGGCGGCAGCTTTTATATTGACTTTGAAGTATGGGTAGTATTATGACAGGCTGATATCTGGGAGGGAAGATCATTGCAAGCTTCAGAGAGCTGACTATGGGTCTTTCTCCCCACTGCCATGAACAGGATACCTTTTGTTTTCTGTTATCCGAGGGAGTCTCTCAGTTATATCTCATTTTCCTCAGGTCTCAGTCCAAACTGAGGAACAGGAAATGTTCTTGCAGGAGATGGCACCTCTACAAACAGAACAAGAACCCAGCATGTCCCTTCAGTCCATGAAAGCTAAACTAAAGTGTGAATCTCCAGAACCTAAAGCCCAACAGGAAAAAGGTAAAGAAGAAAGATGTATCTTGAGAAGAAGGGGAAGACAGGGCTAACAGGACATTTTGGGCTCTTTTATAGCCAATGCTCTCTCTGATCATTAAAGACCTCTCTAGGAATCTGATGGCCCACGCATAGACTTTCAGCCTGATTTGCCACTCTTCAAATATTCTTCAAAAAGAATATAAAGATTCTTCTATTTCTTTATATTTACACTTTTCCAAATAGTGATTGTGTTTTATTTAATCTTAATTTAATCCCTCTTAGTATTACCTTTCTTTGTACTGACCTCCCTGCTATTTCTAGCCCTTATCCTACGACTATGTTCCCCTTCGACTATATCCCTCCTCCTCTGTTAAAAAGCCTTTGCCCATGATGTATGCAGCTAACTCTCAGATGGTTTAGGGGAAAAAAAAATTGTGTACACCTATAAAGAGAAGAAATAATAAAGTAGATATGGCAGAACATTAAAAGGTGGTGAATGGGTGAAGACCTGGTACCTTCCTTATCACTTCTGTGTATTTTTTCTTTTTCATTTAATTTTTTAAAACAGATACAAATTCAGTGGTTCAAAATGAAAAATTTAAAAGTTATCCAATGAAGAGTTTCCATCTCACCCAATTCTCAGCCATCTGCTTTCCCCCTCCCCCACTCTGAAACAGGTTGTCACTATTACTAGTTTCTTGTTTGTTCTTCTGGAGATTTTTTTAAATGTATGTACATTTTTTCATATTCAGAGATACATTTTTCTTCTCTTTTTTCACTCAGATGGTAGCACTTTTATTTATTTACTATATAAATAAAATTTAATATTAAGTGAAGGTTTACAGAGCAAATTAGTTTCTCATTAAACACTACACACATTGTTTTGTGACATTGGTTGCCAGCTCCCCAACGTGTCAACACTCTGCCCTTCTCAACCTTGGAGTCCCCATTTCCATTCATCCAACTTTCCTGTCCCCTCCTGCCTTCTCCTCCTTGCCTCTGCACTGGTGTGCCTGTTTAGTCTCATATATGTGGTTGAGCTGTGTGTATGATTGTTTGTTTTATGGGCCTGTTCAGTCTTTGGCTGAAGGGTGAACCTCAGGAGTGACTTCATTAGTGAGCTAAAAGGGTATCCGGAGGCCATACTCTCAGGGTCTCTCCAGTCTCTGTCAGACCAGTAAGTCTGGTGTTTTTTTTGTGGTTTTTTTTTTTTGTGAGTTTGAATTTTTGTCTACATTTTTCTCCAGCTCTGAGACCCTCTGTTGTGATCCTTGTCAGAGCAGTTAGTGGTGGTAGCCAGGCACCTTCTGGTTGTGCTGTACTCAGTCTGGTAGCACTTTTAATTTTTAACAGCTTCTTAGTATTAAAATGTTTGGATGTGCAACACAGTTACCTTAGCCAGTCCCCTGCAGTGACATTTAAGTTGTCTTCAGTGTTTTCCTATTATAAATAGTGCTTCAGTAAATAAGCATGTATGTGAGTATATCCGTAGCATAAATTCCTATAGTGGAATTATTAGGTCAAAGAATGTATGCTTTTGTAATTTTGATAGATACTGTCAAATCACCCCCATAGAGATTTATAATGTATATTCCCAACAGCAATGCATGCTATCCATTTCATATACACAATGTTATATCAAATTAATTATGCAAACTCAATAGGTAAAAAAATTATATCTCAGATTTGTTTAATTTGTTTTTCCCTTATTATGACATGGAGCATCTTTTCTGACATTTAAGAGCTTTTGTATTTCATTCCCTGGGAACCATCAGTTTTTCCTTTGCCCACTTTCTCTTGCATTGTTGGTCTGTTCCTTAACGATTTTTGAAGTGCTTTCTATATTAGGTCCACACTATATTTTAATGCCATTTTATAGTCATAGAGAAACTGTAGGTTCTTATTTTATATGCTTTTCATTTGAAAATTTTCACTGTTCTCTAATGAGATTGCTGTTTGCTGTCACAGGAAACTAGATAACATTTGTGATTCGTTTGTAGTTTCAGATGTTGAGACTGAAAATGAGTACAGGAATTTAATTCTAAAGCAAGAAGTTTCTGAAGAAATGGAACCCTATGGGGATATATCAAGCAGATTGGAAAGTGAGATGGCTGCTGAGTATGGAGAAACCCATGAACCTAAAGAAAAAATAGAATATCCTTCTGGATACTCCGGGGAAGATAAACAACTCACTTGTGATGATAATGGAGTAAATTTGACTGAGAACTCAGATCTTACTGAACAACAGAGAATCTATCCGGGAGAAAAACCTTATGAATGTAACAATTGTAGAAAAGCTTTCAGTCAGCACTCACACCTCATAGAACATCAAAGGATCCATACTGGAGACAGGCCCTACAGATGTGAAGAATGTGGAAAAACGTTTTGTGGGAGAACTGTGCTTATTCGGCACAAAATAATACATACTGGAGAGAAACCGTATAAATGTAATGAGTGTGGCAAAGCTTTTGGCTGTTGGTCAGCTCTTAATCAACATCAGAGACTTCACACAGGAGAGAAACACTACCACTGTAATGAGTGTGGCAAAGCCTTTAGCCAGAAAGCAGGCCTCTTTAACCATCTCAAAATCCACACAAGAGACAAACCTTATCAGTGTACTCATTGTAACAAAAGTTTTAGTCGGCGTTCAATACTTACTCAGCATGAAGGAGTTCACACTGGGGCAAAACCCTATGAGTGTAACGAGTGTGGGAAAGCCTTTGTTTATAACTCATCCCTTGTTTCCCATCAGGAGATCCACCGTAAGGAAAAATGCTATCAGTGTAAGGAATGTGGGAAATCCTTCAGCCAGAGTGGCCTTATTCAGCATCAGAGAATCTACACTGGGGAGAAGCCGTACAAATGTGACGTATGTAGAAAAGCTTTTAGTCAGAGGACAAGCCTTATAGAACATAAGCGAATTCACACTGGAGAGAGACCCTATAAATGTGATAGGTGTGGGAAGGCTTTCACTCAAAGATCAGTCCTCACTGAACACCAGAGAATCCACACTGGAGAGAGGCCCTACAAGTGTGATGAGTGTGGGAATGCCTTCCGAGGAATCACCAGCCTCATTCAGCATCAGAGAATCCACACGGGGGAGAAACCCTACCAATGTGATGACTGTGGCAAAGCCTTCAGACAGAGGTCAGATCTTAGTAAACACCAGAGAATCCATAGTAGAGATGGTCCGTGTAAATGTAAAGAGTGTGGGAAATCCTTCAGGCAGAACTCGGCTCTTATTCAGCATCAGACTATCCACAAAGGAGGGAAATCTGTTCCTGTGTGATGACTGCAGGAAAGTTGTCTCACACAGGACAGGCTGGAGAGAATTACTAGCTTTGTAATGATTTGGAGCAAAACATCAGTCATTTTTGCTATAAGGAAATCTCAGGTATTACATAAAGAACCACTGTGTGCTGCTCATTTTATTAGTTCTGTGGAGAACTAGAAGCATAACACCAGATTCTTTTTCTCAAGCAGTTTACAACCTAGTTTGGCATATATAGGATCCATATATTTAGTTAAATAAGAATATAGGACAATACAATTGATGCTCAAAGTAGTGTACGATTAAGGGGCACTTGATAGGCAGTGAGTGCTATAAATTCTGAAGGACAGACCACTGTCACCCAGCGTGGTCAGGAAAGATTGTATTAAAGAAGGGTTTGATGGGTAGATTTGGAAGGTAAAAGGGAGAAAACTTTAAGGTGAAATATAAGCAGTGGCAAGAGTGCATGTGGTTTGGAAGCATCAGTGACAAGATTAAGCTACCTAAAGTAGAGCTTTCTAATTGGGAAATTGATATTATTAAGGTTGGAAACGTAGTGAAGACACTGTGGGAGGCCAATAATTCCCTTTAATACTGTACAGCATTTGACACTTACAAAGCACTTTGCTTATTTAATTCCTAAAATACCTCTGTAACTTGAAATTATTCTCCATTTTACAAATGAAGATACTCATGGAGATGGTGACATGGCTGTATAGCTATCACACAAAGGAGAAGACCAGCAACTGAGATGCAGGTCTCTAACGTCAAGTTCTGCCCATTACACCAGTGATTCCCCACCTTTAATGAATATCTAAATCACCTGTGGTGCTTATTTAAAATGCCTGAGTGCCACTCACAGATACTGTGCTTCAGTAGGTGGGAGTGGAAGATGTGTGTGAGAATCTTCATTTTCATAACTCCATAGTCACCTGATGTACTCTGAATTTGAGAAACATTACACTGAATCACAGCTACCTCTGTTGTTGTCTGTGAAATAAGGAAGCCTGAGCATAGTCCTGTATACAAGGAGCCACTACAGATTTTTAGCACAAAGAAAACCCTACAGTGGACATGTGCCACCAGTCCTTTAGAGTCAAGCAGGGAATTAGACAACCATCATGCCCTGAAAACTAGGGCTTCAAGATGGCTTTTCGATCTATTTAGATTTAAGTGTTTCCAAAAACAGACTGACCTACATTCCAAGGTTCTCAAGGGTCTTCTCAGTGCAAAGCCTTGTTTGTTTAGTTGGAGGAGTGCCGGAGGTCTTACCAGTTTTACTCTTACCTTTGTTCCTCAATTCTTTCCTTATAGTTACCATTGTGTTTGGAATTTTCTAATAATTGCAATTGAGTACTGCTTTAAATTTTTTGGTTCACATACCTTCTGGAGCATATCAGATACCCCAGAGATTAATTATTCTACCCCTTGGAGCTTCTGAAAAACAAGTCGACCAACAACAGGCTGACTTTTCCTGTTTTACTGAGTAAAAGTTTCTGCTTTGGATGATGGTTATTTCATTGTATATAATAGGCAACCCATATAGAAAGAAGTACACATGGTTTGTATATCTTTTATTTACAGAAATCACTGCTAATCCCTTCTGAGATGTTCTTTTATTTTCTTCCCTTTCTATCTTGCCATAGCAAACTTCACATTTCTGGGACCACCTCCTCAATCCCACTTCCACCCAACTCCAGTCCCCTCTTCCCTCACCTCTTCTGGTCAGTGGGTTTGAACTGGTGAGACAGTGACAAAAGGGGAAGGGGAAAAAGAAATGAATGGTAATATCCATTCTGCTGTATTAAGTCCTACTCCCAACTACCTTTCTACCCAGCCCTGTGTGTTTATTTCATCTTCTCACCCCTATAACGTACTCTACCCTATTTTCCTAGTGCCTCTGTCTCTTACCTCTCTATCCATAACCCCCATATAGAATATCAGAATATCATCACTGGCTTGGAACTGAAAGAGTCCTAGTCCTGTAGGAATAGATTATTTCCTAACTTTACAAGTATCAAGTATGAACACATTTTCCCATGTAAATGTTAATGGTATTGGAAACTGTATGGGCAGTTCTACTCTGTCCTATAAGGTCGCTGTGAATTGGAATCGACTCAGCAGCAATAGGTTTATGTGTCAAATTGGCTTTTGGAGTTGGAATTGATATGACTACTTCTATGTGGAAAAACATTGAGTTCACAGCATGGAAAAGCTAATGAACATTTGAAAAATAACTCATTTATAAATTGAGGGCTGCTTATTTAGACTTTTTCTTTAAGACCAACATTGGAGTTGCACACATAAGGCACTGAGGCAGCTGGGATTGAAAGCTAATTTTTTACCTGCAGGAAACAAGGATCCTTGTCTTAGTTATCTAATGCTGCTATAACAGAAATACCATAAATGGGTGGATTTAATAGCAATTTATTTTCACACAGTTTAGGAGGCTAGAAGTCTCAATTCAGGGTGCTGGCTGTAGGGGAAGGCTGTTTGTGGGCGCTGGAGGAAGGTCCTTATCTCTGAGCTTCTGCTTCTGTGAGATCTTCAGTGTGGCTTGGCATCTCTCTTCCCCCGTCTCTGCTTCTGTTCGCTTGTTTAATCTCTTTTATATATCAAAAGAGATTGACTCAATACCCTGCACTAATTCGGTCACATTAACATAATAAAGACAACCCATTCCCAAATGGGATTATAACCACAGGCATAGAGGTTAGGATTTACAGCACATGTTTTTGGGGAACATAATTCAATCCATAACAATCCCAAAGACAGTCTGAAAGTTCTGTAGCTATAACTATGTGAGGCTTGTTCCTACTTGTCCTACTCCACTTCTTACTCTCATGCAAATTCTTATTGAAGGGGACTTTACTTAGGAGAACCTTCATGAAAATGTCATCCTAACCAAATAAATGCTCTCCGTACTCCCCAGTTTATCTGATTTCCCAAACTTTTTATCCAAACTAAAATTACTCTTCATAGTAACCTCAGAGTTTCTCTTTAATCTGCCTGCTCACTGGAATTCAAACCTTATTTTAACCTTGCTATCTGTTCCTCTCCATGCCTTGACTTGGAGTCTCTCCAGTTCATCATCTGCTTAACATGTTCTCTCAACACATACATGTTCCTCCATTTGCCTACCTAACCTAATTCTCTTAATACCTAATATCACAAAAGGGCCATAAACAAAGACCCAGAACAATGAAATATGCCTGTTATATATAAGGATACAATTCATAACTTGTTTAAATGTGGGGATTTTATTCTGGATGTTTCTTGTGCTTAAATAAGAGTTGCAATACCAAAAAAAGGTAGCGGGACACGGAATTTTCAGGTAGACATCAAAAGGGATCAAACTAGTTACCCAGAATAAGGATTGCTTATATAGGGTCACTGTGAGTCAGAATCGACTCGACAGCACACAACAACATATAGTGGAGTAAAGTTACTAATTGGAGCTAAATTGGGAACAGAAAAAACTGAAGGCCCAGAGGGGCAATTAGAGGACGTGACAGATGTTCAATATGGGATAACGGTGCTACATTGGGGAGTACAGTGAACAGAATAACAGCCAGGTGGAAATACACCCTCTTCTCACTTATCGGTATGGTTAGGTTCCAAAGACCAGGTCATTAGGCAGAATCAGTGTTATATGAAAAATGGAGGATGACTATATCATTAGGTAACTTGCAAGTTACATCATTACTTAACTGCCAAACCATTGAGAATCATGACCCAACCAAGCTGACAACCTTGACTATCAAAGCATTACTTTAGCTTCTCACCTTGGCATTTGTTAACTGCCAGATGTACGTCGTTAATGCACAAAATAGTCAGCTAGTAGATTTTTTACTGTTGTCGTAAATGCAAAATGTCGGATAATGAGAATTTATAAGTGAGTAGAAGGCATACTGGTGTTACATTCAAATGATGAATCAAAGCAGTGGCTCAAAATTAGCATTAAGAATGAGAATAAGTTTGGCTGGCTTTTTTCTAATTGATTCAAGGTAAACAAGATATTGGGTTTTTAAGACAAAAGGCACCTGGTGAAGTTGGAAGAGAGCCAGGTTTCTAAAAGGAATGAAAAGTGAAGTGAGCTTAAACGCAGGCTTTGGATGAAAACATACAGGATACAGAGGGTGCAGTAGAAAGGGAATGCAAATGAAAGATAGGCTCCCAAAAAATTGTATTAAAAAGTTGCTGTAATTTGAGGTGTGAGGTAAAGCTGATGGGGAAAGAGAATGGGATAGAGCAGAGGTCTGGATTGAGAGATCTCACCTGTATGGTAGAACAGAAGTGGAGAGCACAGATACAAAAACTTAAAAAAGCTCTGCACTCATATACTCAGTACAGAAGTATCCTCTTTTGTTAATAGCCAATAGATTATTATTGTTACAGTAAGAACAAAGCCATCGCTATTGGTCATCTTTTTGGAATAGAGAACGTTTTATTAATAATATATGATATGTATTAACTGCTTACTAAGGGCCAGATATAACTAAATGCTTTACTTAATTTATTTCACTTAAATTATTTCATTTTCAGCTAGAGAAACTGAAATCAATGAATTAAAGCTTCTTAAGATCACAAGTATGTGGTGGAGCCAAGATTTCAAGCCAAACAGTGATTGTAGAGTCCACGCTTTTAACGTCTGTGACACACTTCCTCTAATTATTTCAGTTGAACAAACCATGTGTTGCAGTGGTATTCAGTGTCTCGAGTACTTATCTGTAGAAAGTTTTCAATTCCTATCACTATTCTAGAAAATATTTTAGAGAAAATATTTTAGAAACCCTAAAGCCAAAATACCAAAAGGTATCATCACCCTCTCTGCCTACCAAATCTTCAATGAGGATTGGCCAGCCCTAATTCTTGTTGCCTGCACAATGAGGGTGTCCTCGGCAGACATTCCACTTTAGAAATGGGCTTTTTATATGAAAGAATCATCTTCCTGTCTTAGAATCATTTAGAGATGTGTCCCCAAGTGTTAATAACCCATTATATATCTATCTTCAACAAGAGTTTTTAAAAGTGATTTTACATTTGCAGCCAGTATCACTTCTTGGGTTAAAAAAAATACCACAAATAATTATGTAAAATAGTGCTTTAATTTGCTTAAGATTTGCCTCTTTTATGGTTCAAATGGTACCCCTCCTGACTCCACAAGGCCAGAATTTGTCTGAGCAGTAAGTCTTCGTTCAATCTAGGGATAGTTATTTGGTAACTTAATTGTATCTCCTCTCAACTTTCATTCTTCCACACTGAAAATTTCTCATAGCACAGCCCCTCCTGCAGTTCATCATTTTAATTGAATTTCTTTGGATTCTCTCTAGTTCCAAATGTTTCTGGTATAATTGGCAAGGAGTTTGTACACATTATCTTTATACATATATAATATTTTAATAAATTTATCATCTATAGATACATATATAAGTTAGATATGTATATATGTGTATTGATACATATTTTATATGTCGTATTTACAGTTTTTATTTTATATATGTAATTTGAATTTTACAAAGCCAGCCATGGTAAGTGTTTTTTAACTTTTCAGTTGATTAGCTCCCTAGCTTACATTGTAAGATCATATTGAGAGCCAGCAGTTTTCCCATGATTTCATGGGAACAGTTGATTCTCTTTACACATTCAAAAAGAAAGATTATGGGTCTGAAAATTCACCAGTCAGGACTCCCAGAGCTTTCACCCACCATAGCTGAAGGTGAACTTTGGGGGATATGTTTGTTTGCCATCATCTTCCTAAGCCCAGGTAGCCTGGTCTTGGGTGTCCTGAGAAGGATTCCTAAGTGGAGACCATTAGGAACCTCTGATTTCTGGTTAGATCTTCATTATTTCTCTCCAGGCTAGCTTTGCATGTCCTACTTTTTGATCTAGTGGCTCAGTTCTGCCTACTTCAATGAAGGTTTTAGGAATAGGTATCTCCCTATTTCATCCCCAATAAAGAATGAAGAAGCAGTTTAGGCATTCTTTATAGCCTCCTGTAGATTCTGGAAATTGCCAGATTCCCTGTTTATTCCTGAAGTAGAGCTTAAGAACATGACTTCGAGACAAATTTGCTGGGTTCGAATCTCAACTTTGCCACTACTAGCTTACTGACTTTGGGCAAGCAAAGTGTTTGCCTCAGTGTCTTCATAAATAAGGTGGTGATAATACCTACCTCATTGAGCAATTACATGGATTAAATGAGTTACATAATACAGCGAAACCTATGAAAGCCATAACTCCACGGGACTGCATTGTTTTTCCGGGTGTTGCAAGTTTTCCACCTTTGACGGTGCAGTCTTACCACTTTTCTGTAATTTATTTTAGTGGAAAATATTTGAGTTTTCCTTGTCTGACAGGTTTCCGCCTTACACAGGTTCTAGCTTTCGCAGGTTTTTCTGTCTATGTAAAGTGCTTAGAACAGTGCTTTGCACCTGTTAAGTGCTTTATAATTGTTTGCTATGGTTTTGATTACTACTCTTGGTGCTCTCCAATGCATTAGCTCAAGATTCCCCAGGCCAGAAGTTACCTGTAACCAGGCTGCAAGTTTTCCTGCTGCATTGTCCGCCCAGCTTTGGATAAAACTTCCTGCCTAGGTCTACTTTTACTTTCTTGCCTTGGGAACTGCTGACCAATGGCCGCAGGGGTCAGATATCACCCAGACTGGAAAGGAGAGATTTCTTTCTTTTATCTCCACCCTTGTTAGTTATCTGTGATAACTAGCCCACGGTATTCGCTGTATGTCTTTGGAGCCGCTCTTCTCAAGTTCTGCAGCTGGAAGGCGGACCCCGGGCCTGGCTTGGCGCGCGCAGCTTCAGAGCAAGGACCCTTCGGGTTACTTGACAACGCACCCTGAGCCAACTCCACTGCTCAGCTAGGGCGGGTACATGGCCAGACAACCACAGAAAGGAAAAAACTTCCGAGATACTGGAGAAGACTGAATGCTGAAGCCGCTAGTAACAGCGGTGAGATCTAGAACTGCGGATCTTCCGGCCTTGTGGACTGCTTTTGGAAACGGCGGTGGTCATAGGCTTGTGGACTCCAGGTTGCAACCCAGTGTCCGGTCTGGCTCTTTAGGGGCTCTGGTGAGGTGGGGTCTGACTGGGAGGAGCAGAAGAAAGTTAAGGATGTCTGCCAAGTTATGTACTGAGGTACCAGGAAACTGAGGCTGTTGACAGAAAGAGGAAAGTCTGGTTTCCCAGTCTGGGAAAGGGTAAGTTGGGTTAGCTTCGTGGGTTGTTACGGTTCATGACTTTCCCAAGAGCAGATAGGTCTATGCTTGAGTGCAAGGAAAGATGTGGAATCCACTTACTTTTTGGTTGTATGACTGAGCAAAGTACTTAAATCTCTCTGTGCCTTGGTGTCATTCATCTGTCAGTAGGAATTAACAGTAGTATCTACCTAAATGAGTAAATCCATAGTAAATTTTAAATAAATATTAGCTGCTGTTCTTGTTTTCTCATTTCTGATGTTCTTTTCT